GTCGCATGACAACGCTCAACGTGAAGATTCCCATTTTTTTCAATGGTGTCACCCCTGAGCGCTCTGCGTCGCTTGTTGCGTGAAAAAGTACATGAGCTTCTTTTCGGGCCCATTTTTTGCTCCAACAGGAGTCCCTAAAAAATGTGCCCGGCAACCGTCTCCTAACTGGCTTCCCATTGGCTAAAACAGAGCAGCTCAAGCCTGTAGGCTAACTATGGCTGGGCATGCAACTGCTGCAAGCTGCAGCTTTGAGGCAGAGTTCTCGCCAGACAGCCTTGTGCTATGAGCTGCTACATTGCCGACAGTTGGAGACGGCCAGTTGTAGTCTTCATGACAGGGTGACAACACAGGAGTGCAATTAGAAGATAGGGCAGAGCGTTGTCAACCTATAATAGGAAGTGCCAGAAAGAGGAGCTGCATGGCAGGATCGCTGCCAGTGTCACAGGAATGGTGGATAGGCGGGAGCCAGGTGCACTGTCACAGGAATGGTGGATAGGCGGGAGCCAGGTGCACTGTCACTGGAATGGTGGAAAGGTGGGAGCCAGGTGCACTGTCACAGGAATGGTGGAAAGGTGGGAGCCAGGTGCACTGTCACTGGAATGGTGGAAAGGTGGGAGCCAGGTGCACTGTCACTGGAATGGTGGAAAGGTGGGAGCCAGGTGCACTGTCACAGGAATGGTGGATAGGTGGGAGCCAGGTGCACTGTCACAGGAATGGTGGATAGGCGGGAGCCAGGTGCACTGTCACAGGAATGGTGGATAGGTGGGAGCCAGGTGCACTGTCACAGGAATGGTGGATAGGTGGGAGCCAGGTGCACTGTCACAGGAATGGTGGATAGGCGGGAGCCAGGTGCACTGTCACAGGAATGGTGGATAGGCGGGAGCCAGGTGCATGGTCAGTGTCACAGGAATGGTGGATAGGTGGGAGCCAGGTGCACTGTCACTGGAATGGTGGGTAGGTGGGAGCCAGGTGCACAGTCACTGGAATGGTGGATAGGTGGGAGCCAGGTGCACTGTCAGTGTCACTGGAATGGTGGATAGGCGGGAGCGAGGTGCACTGTCACTGGACTGGTGGATAGGTAGGAGCCAGGTGCACTGACACTGGAATGGTGGATAGGCGGGAGCGAGGTGCACTGTCACTGGACTGGTGGATAGGTAGGAGCCAGGTGCACTGACACTGGAATGGTGGATAGGCGGGAGCGAGGTGCACTGTCACTGGACTGGTGGATAGGTAGGAGCCAGGTGCACTGACACTGGAATGGTGGATAGGCGGGAGCGAGGTGCACTGTCACTGGACTGGTGGATAGGTAGGAGCCAGGTGCACTGACACTGGAATGGTGGATAGGCGGGAGCGAGGTGCACTGTCACTGGACTGGTGGATAGGTAGGAGCCAGGTGCACTGACACTGGAATGGTGGATAGGCGGGAGCGAGGTGCACTGTCACTGGACTGGTGGATAGGTAGGAGCCAGGTGCACTGACACTGGAATGGTGGATAGGCGGGAGCGAGGTGCACTGTCACTGGACTGGTGGATAGGTAGGAGCCAGGTGCACTGACACTGGAATGGTGGATAGGCGGGAGCGAGGTGCACTGTCACTGGACTGGTGGATAGGTAGGAGCCAGGTGCACTGACACTGGAATGGTGGATAGGCGGGAGCGAGGTGCACTGTCACTGGACTGGTGGATAGGTAGGAGCCAGGTGCACTGACACTGGAATGGTGGATAGGCGGGAGCGAGGTGCACTGTCACTGGACTGGTGGATAGGTAGGAGCCAGGTGCACTGACACTGGAATGGTGGATAGGCGGGAGCGAGGTGCACTGTCACTGGACTGGTGGATAGGTAGGAGCCAGGTGCACTGACACTGGAATGGTGGATAGGCGGGAGCGAGGTGCACTGTCACTGGACTGGTGGATAGGTAGGAGCCAGGTGCACTGACACTGGAATGGTGGATAGGCGGGAGCGAGGTGCACTGTCACTGGACTGGTGGATAGGTAGGAGCCAGGTGCACTGACACTGGAATGGTGGATAGGCGGGAGCGAGGTGCACTGTCACTGGACTGGTGGATAGGTAGGAGCCAGGTGCACTGACACTGGAATGGTGGATAGGCGGGAGCGAGGTGCACTGTCACTGGACTGGTGGATAGGTAGGAGCCAGGTGCACTGACACTGGAATGGTGGATAGGCGGGAGCGAGGTGCACTGTCACTGGACTGGTGGATAGGTAGGAGCCAGGTGCACTGACACTGGAATGGTGGATAGGCGGGAGCGAGGTGCACTGTCACTGGACTGGTGGATAGGTAGGAGCCAGGTGCACTGACACTGGAATGGTGGATAGGCGGGAGCGAGGTGCACTGTCACTGGAATGGTGGATAGGTGGGAGCCAGGTGCACTGTCACTGGAATGGTGGATAGGTAGGAGCCAGGTGCACTGTCAGTGTCACTGGAATATACACACAGTGCATCTGGATCTGTAGCCCATTTAAGCCCCTCCCACTTTTAAAAAGCACCCTTTGGCCACACCCATCATTGCCCCGCCCACCTTCTCAGGAGTGACAGGTATGCTCACAGGACACAGGTTTGGTAAGTCGGTTGTGCAGAGATTGTATGGTCAGATTGTGACGTGTGTGACGAGCCTCAGCTGCAACAACATGCATTGCGGGTGCATCCGTGCAAACGCCGCGCGGCCCCCCAGGCACCGGCGCATGCTGCATCCACCGCCTGCGCCGGATGCCGCTGGTACTCCGCTCCCTCTGTCATCATCACAAGCGGCAGGTAAGTTGGCTCACTTCCTCCTGACGTAACGCGGTCAGATGAAGCAATGCCGTGCCCGGGGGAGGGGGGGGATGGACCGTCCACCGAGGCGATATAAGCAGCGGAGCCCAGCGAGGGACCAGCGGCCGTTCTGAGAGGAGCCCGGCAGCTGATTGGCTGCAAGTTCCTGGGGGATCCCTCCCAGTCTGATGATGGGGGGAGATCAGATATCCAGCTTGATGTTTCCTACTAGACAGTGACATCAGCTGGGAGCCGAGTGATACAGATAATAGTAACTCGGGGAGGAGGCTCGGGGAGGATGGGACTTCATTAATCCAACACAGCTCAGCTCCGAGCATTTGCCTCTCGCACAAGGTCAGAGTTTGATGGGACCAAATTCTCCGAAGCCTCAAACTTTCTGCTGCTGCTGACGGAGGGGCTGCTGCGCCGGCTTTGGCTGGGTTTTTTTTGGGGAGGGGGGCGAGAACCGTCGGATGTTGCGTCCTCTCTTCTCATGGTGGTCTTGCCCGGGACTCCTTTTCGACCTTGGAATTGCGACTAAAGGAACAACATGACTCTACTGGGATCGGAACATTCCCTACTGATTCGGAGCAAGTTCAGAACAGGTAACCTAGATCCCCCCCACCCCCACAA